ATTTTGAGATTTTGATTTTAAATTCTTTAAAAAAAATTTTTTTAACGACGATATAATTAAAATTTTTATGGCTATTTTGAAATATAAAATAAAAGTTCATTTAAATCTATGATTTTAAAATAAAATTAAAAGCTTATATTATATATTTTTTAAGTTTATTTTAGTAATTTATGATTTTTAAATTACATAAAATTATTTGAAACAAAATCTATGATTAGTTTAGATAAGAAAGATTATTATAAAACTTGAAATTATATTATAACTCAAAAAAATAATTCGATTCTAAATTCGCAATTTATTTAGATTTTTTTTTTAAAAAATATTTATTTAACATAATTATAATTATTGATAAGGATATTTATAATATACTATGTATTACTAAGAAACTATTTTAAAACTCATTCAAAAACTATTCCTGATTTTTTTTAAAGTCAACAATAATCTAAAGAACTCTAATTTAAGATTTCATTAAATTTAAATAAAACCCACTTTATAGCAGTATTTTATTATCATGAATTTATATTTTATAATAATTATCTTGTTAAGTCATCTATATATATAGAAATTTATATTAATTTATCCCATTCATAGTGGAAATAAATATGCCACTAACTTATTATATGAATATTTATCAATTCCAGAATTTTCCTTGGCGTTAAATTTATCTACCTTTTTAAAATTTCCCAACAAATCATTTGAAACTTTTTCACTACAAGGATAATGTAAACTATTTGTATATGGATATATGGGCTTACCAGTATTGATGAGAGTCGAATCCTGAAATAAAAAAATATAAAAGTCCTATTATAGATGCTCTTATTTAATATAATAGCCTGGAAAAAAGATTTTGCTTTAGAAGCACACAAATTATTAGACACAATACCAACCAATTTTTTTTTAAATTAGAAAGCATTAACAAATTATTTAATTACACAAACATTTTATGCAATATAATTCAAAAAAATGACATCGATTTAATTATGACTATGAGAATAGCTGAAAGCATCATACTGGAACTTAAGGAAATTGGGGTAAATGTAGATGATGAATTTCATAATATGTCATAGTCATAATCAGAGCTCTATGAATTTGATATTGTCTACATTGACTCGCAAGTTTATCCTTCCAATATTAATGTAAGATCAGTAAGAATAATAGTATACACCCCCTCTTGGATAGTTTTATGACTCAAATGAATGAAAAGGTTTTGATTCATCAGGCAGCATTTAAAAACTGCGAATATTAATTGGAGAATTCTTCCGAATCTATTTCAAATCTTGATAGAGATAAAATTAAATGTTAGAAGATTTTTATCGTTAGGATGGAAGTCTTCTCTCATGCATTACTAACTGAATTAAACCATGGTATAAATGGCTAATATGGTTAATAATGTTCCAAGCTAAAGATACTCTTGTTGCATAATTTTGAGCACATTGCTACTTTTCTAATATATTAAAATTATTATATATTTTGGAAACTCACCATTAGTACCTTACCAATGAAAGAACAATACATAAGAAGTACTACCTCTGATAATAGATTGAATGGGTTCCCCCTTCTTAGTTGTATACATAAGAAGTTGACATCAAATCTCAAAAAAAATTAAATTTTACATTATAAATTTATAACATGCATCTTAATAATATTTCTTCACGCAATCAATTTTTAATACACCATATTTTTTTTATCGTGTATTTTGCAAGTTTATAACATGCAATAATTCTTAAAAATTTTTGTGCATTAATTTATATTTCCAATTTTTAAATTTTTTAATTCTCTAGTATATAAAACTGAAACGATTGAATTTGGGTTCGAGGCAGATCATAGGAAATGCCTAAGTACAATTAGATCTACCATCAGATATTCAAGATATTGATAGTTCTGATCTATACCCTGATACTCTTTTTTAAATTGGCATTCCAATGATGATAATAATACCACACATATGAAAACGTTAAAATCAAATGTTCTAACCAGGTGGTATAGTATATTAATTACATTTTAAAGCATATTTGGAAAAAATAAAAATTTAATTAATAACGTTTTGAAAAGAATTGGGGAAAACTATCTCAAACTAATAATCAGATTTAGTAGCAGAACTATTAGCTTTTCTTTCAAAATTTAAATTTCTATATGCATAAAAATGTCTGCCTTAAATTTGGGATCCCTTTTTAGAAGTGAAATTGAAACAAATTTAATAGTAAATAATAATGATAGCTCAGAAATCATTTCCCTGAAGGAAAATATGCTTTAAAAAAACTTGCGTTACGATTTTAGATTGTAATCTGCAAGTAATAATATATAAGTATGTTCATTTATTTTTTATTTCAAAAATAATATAGGATTTGGCTTCTCTTCTAGACCAAAATTTGAAATTTGTGTGAAAGTATACAATGGAACAAAATTACACAGCGTTAGAATTTATTATAAAACATTTTAAACGTATAGAGTATATGTATGATGTTTATGATAGTTGATATAGAGATTGAGAATCAAGATGAAATATTAAATTCAAATTATTTAACAAAGTTATGAATTTTTAATGAATTTCTCCCTAAGACCTAAAAATATGCCGAGATATCTGTAGTATAGTTTATATTATAATTTAATTTTTCTTAAAGAAATTAATTAGCAATTAAAATATTATGTTATAAAAAATTTATACCGGTGCCTCGATGTAAGCCAACTATGTTAACGGCGGCTAAAAATCGGCTCGCCGCTGGCCGCCAATTCGATAGTTTCGTGCGCCCATGTCTAAAAATATGTAAAATATAAGCATTATTTATTTTATTGCATGTTATTAATAAAATTATTGCTTTATTATCATTTCCAAGTCTAGAGCGGGGATCAGAAAGTAAAAGTTTGCCTTACAATAATTGTTGCAGCAATTGAGGAAAAAGAGACGTCTGATAGATTTAATATTAAAGGCTCTTTCATTTCTTTAAATTGTCCAAATTATTACTGTTCACTTCTGTGTGCAGGATATCTTGGTACCAAATGAATGTAATCAGATTGGGATAAGGGATTGACCAGGAAAATCGACCTAACTATATTAATTATATAATTGTTATGACTTTATCAGCTAATTTTTGAACATCTAATATTGTAGGATTAATCAATTTAATATGAATTAAATTTGATTTATTGGATATGCCTCTTCTAGTATGCCAATTTCAATCTCTTAAATCTGAGGTGTGGGCATTCTAAATGTAATATAGTAGATAAACAATTTTTAAAAATGATAAATATTATCTTTACATATTTTTTTAAGTTAAAGCTGCTATATTTATTGATTGTCCTTCGCTATTTTATACATCTTATATTAAATCATATATTGATTTTTTAAAAAAAATTAAGTTTAACATATTTCACAAATTTGGGGAAAGGTAATTCCAATGAAATTTTATGGTTATTATCTGTCCCAAAATTATCTTTCATATCTATCTCTATTGTCAGCATTCTATACTTTAAATAACTCGATAAATTAGATTTATAAAGCATTTTTTAAGATATAAATTCAATTATTATAATATAAAATTAAATTAATTATTAAATTATAATGTTAGTATTTTTTCATAGTATATATTTTAAAATTTTAATCTAAAAAAAAGCGCTTTACCGCTATAGCTATCTTTTTTTAAAATTAGCGGCGCAACTACGTTACTAAAAAATGTAGCGCTCTACTTTAACAATTCTGATTCCTACATCCTTTATATACACTTTAAATATTTTATCATTAATTTATATTAAAAATTTGTATTAGAAATTGTCAATATTGAATTTTAAGATAGATATAAATAGCTCTTAGAATAATTCTAAAAAAAAATAATTACCCCCCCCCCCCCCTCCCCACAACGCATAACAAATTCCTGCATACGAGCCTCCTTATCGCACTCCATCAATATTTATATATTTTATAAATAATTTGCGAAACAATTATACTTAATTAACCGTCCCCAGGGACTTCTACTCTTTAAATTTGAAGGGAGTAGGTAGCTATGAAGACCCTGAATAATATTGAAGAGTAGAGTAGGGGTCAAATTTTAAGGGGATATGGGGCATTTCATTGGCTTAGGAGGGTGTGGACATTCTGGAATCACCCCCCTTCCCCATTCATCAGCTGAAAATAATATAAATATGAAGGCTGCCTAACACCTAAGCAATTAAATGTTTCATTTATATGACGAGTATAGCAAAAGTCACAAGTCTGATAAACTACAAATATGAAACTTAATAAGGTAATGTTAATATATCTATAAGCATAGAATTGGATCATATAATAAATAACTTGCTTAGTTATTAACGAATCTACTATATTATGTATAGATTTAGTATTTTAATGAGGCAGCTCTTAAAATACAAAGAAATAGTTAATATGCATATTGTAATTAATAAAACATTACCATGAAATTCAAAAAAAAATATATCAAAATTTTAATATTCGGCAATTAAAAAATCAGATATTTTCGAGTCCCTGCTTGATATTTTATCTATAAATATATTGTGGCTTCCAAACATCCTTTGCAATGAGCCTCCTTGCACAGATGAGACTATATTAGAAACTTGTATATGATTATTTGTAGTTTTAAATAGTGTTTGCAGCGGTCCGATCCCGTCCGGGTTTTTTTCTAAAATGGGACTAGACCGCTCGGCTGTTAGGTCGGATGAGACCGTGGGACCATGAATCCAGTCTCATTTAAAATATGTTTTTTTTGTTGTGCTATGAAAATTTTATTCTGTATTAAATTTATTGAAAATGAAATGTGTTAAATTACCAATATTTTAATTATATCATCAATATTGAATATAATGCAAATTTGCATATTTAATTATTTTTGATATATATATATATATATAATATATGATAGATATTTGGTTATAAAATAAAATTGAATTATATATAAGTATTCTAATAATATTCTAAAAAATCAAATTCCATTTTTTATCCATGATTCAACCATCTTTGAATTCATTCTATTCCATTTTTTTGGATATTTTATCACTAGATTAAGAATTGATCTTCAGATGCTGCTGATGTAGCCTGTTGTGGGAGATAAATCATTGCTATTTTGACCAGAATTGAGAATCGATATTGATTCCTTTATCACCAATCTAATATGTTGGAATTAATTGGATATAAAATATTGGTTAAATAACTTTAGATAATTTATATCATCTTTCTCAGATTCCTCTGATGTCCCAGTCACCGTGAGCCTATCCCTGGCTCGTCTCTCCCTCAAGGATATTTTCTTAAATAAATAAATATTTTATATATATTGTTTCTTTATGCAAAAGAATAGAAAAAGCAAACATTAATGAGATGTTATAAAGTGTTAGGCATTAAATAATAATCATGTTTTAAGTGTTCATATACATTAATTAAAAGGTAATTTATTGTAAACTTTTATCTTTCTAAATCGGTCTTAGGTCGGATCAGACTGTGTTGTCAGACATGACTGTCCAGTCAGGTCCAATAGTCAGATGGGACAGGCCAAATGCGAACACTAGTTGTAAACAAAAAATTGAAATTGTTATTTTTAAGGAAGACATTGTATTTTGCCATTAACATCGAAGACCCAATCCCTCACCTTTTCAAAAATTAAACATAAATAAGAGGCATAAAAAGTCATATTTTGATAATTTTTAGATGTCTAGCTATTAGGAGTAAAAAGTTATAGACGTTTTCCTTTTCATAGCGTTGCTACCACTTACCAGTCCCTCCTAGTATTTTTTTATGAAACTGAAAGTTCCAAGCTGCACTCGTGGAAGTATTTTAATCTTTCTCATCAAAATATTTAAAACCCGTTTTAGTGCATAGGCTAAATATTATTCTACTGCTTTATATTTAAATATCATAAAGGATATAATTATACTTACTTTAACCATAGATCGATTTGCTCTTGATGATTAATAATGGTAAATTTATTTTTATTGCCCGTCGAGGTTCAAGCTTCAGTATATTTATTTTATGTATGTATTATCCATTCATTATATTCTAGGATGGGGGTAGGATAAATATAAATATTTTACAGAAGGTAATCTTAAAGAGAATTTTATTCCATTTTTATATCTCCACTATGCGATTGCATCAAAAATTGCTATAAAATAAAACTGCCATCCCAAGATTTTATCAAAGAAATTCTATAATATTTTAGCCCGTGTTAGAGGGACTTGTCCAGTAATATTCGATGACTACCAATATGATAAAAGATATAGATTAGTCATTGTATTGAGACCATAAGAGCTTTGATTGTGCCTACGCAATATCTGGCAAGGTTTTATAATATTGTCTTGTAAAAGTTTTTACAAAATCTTTAAATCTTGATTAGACTAAGGCTCATAGCTAGTGTCTAGGGTAATTGGGTATTCACACAAATTTAGTATTGATCAAATTTCACCAAAAATTGCTGTTTTTCTATATACAAGACATTTGTCTATCTCCTAAAATAATCGTCATATTGTTCTTTCTTTCATCAATTTAACTTTATAAGGGAGAAACTCCATAAATAAAAAGCTATTATTTATTTGTTTTCGCCACTAGTTTTATGTAAACATTTTAGGAAATTGGGCATTGTTTATTAATGACCATCTTAATAGATATTATATCAATAATGGTATTAATCGTTTTATCGTATGCAAATACAATGAAAAATGAAAATTAATTTATTATTTAACTCAATATCATAATAACTTAAATATTTTTGAAATTATATTAAATGCACTCCCGTGAAACTGCGGCTATGGTCCACAGCCCCAGGAATCTTTTATTACTATATTATATTAATTATGGAGTGTTTAGATCACCAGGGGGCAGCTGCCTCTACTATAGCGGGGTTAAGATGTAAGATCGTAGGTGAAATATCAGAAAGTACGGAGTAAGGATGGAGAACAATGACAGTAAATAAAAAAAAATTTGGGGTGATATAATCTGTTATTTATAATTAAAATTATTTACTATTAATTTGTCATAATGAAAGTTCATAAAGGTTATATTATATTAATACATTTTCAATGAATCTACTTAGCTACAATTGCACAATATGAAGGAGGAGCGTTTCATCCTCTGGAAATTTATTGTTTTAATAAATATCCTATAAAATTATTTCAAAAATTTTCTCCTACATATCCCCCCCCCCTCTTCAAAAAAATATATACAATATATAACTATTATAAAAAGAAAAATAACTATAAGGTAATAATTTTTTTTAAATAATGGCTTAAAAATTTTCAGAAAAATCTATTTTAATATTTTTTAAAAAACGAAAATGATTTTAAAAAATGTAACATAGCCAAAGTTTGCAATTTATAACCCTAAAACACTCCAAGAAAATTTATGGGGGAAGATCTACCTAATAGCCTCCCCCCCCCCACCAAATCCTGGCCATTGCCAATTAATATAATTTATTAGTTGTTTTAGCTACTATCTTCATTTTTTTGAATATTTTAATTTTACGATGCAATTATCATTATATTTGTTATAACTGCGGTGCTATCTTAATGGGAAGACATTATGTCATCTATTTATTATCATTAATAACTATTTGGGGTTTCAGTGGTAAACCAGAGAGCCTAAAATTATTGTGAGCTCAAAGTTTCTTCTAGAGCACTAAACTCTAATGGTTAATTTTTTTTCTATTAGATATTTGTCGAAAAATTTCACCAAATATGCCTAATCTATGCCAATTTATTCTATTAATTAATACAATAAAAAATATTTAGACACCCTGTTGAACCCAAAATCACATTATCAAATTTTTTTTTCATATAGGAATCCTTACACATTAATCTATTCACAAAAAAAATATGAGTTTAAATGCTTTGTTTATCACTATATAAAGGACTATTTAATAACAATAAATAGAAAGGTAATAAGTGACCCTCATGGGTTAGGTAATCTTATTAATCATAATGTATAATTAATTAACTTGAGTAAATGTGTATTATTCTCTTTTAGATATAATATAAGCATTTGTATAATAAGTGTTTAATATTTATAAATAATATATATATCAATAATTGAAGTCAGGACTTGAGAACCAAAAAAATATCTTTTAGGGTTTGAACTCAAATAAAGATGAGGGTTTAGGTTTGGTTCGGATAAATATAAATAAATTCTATATCATTATAGTTCATATTAATGATAAATTATTTTAAAATAAGATGTCCAGTCAATATCTTGTAGAAAAAAATGACTTTCCTCAAAATGATATCGCTAAAAACTTTAAGACCACGAGCAAAACAACATGGCCACTTATTTCCGGTCTGTCTCCTTAAAATGTACTCTAAATTTTATAAATTATTTAATAATTTATATATTTTTTTGCAAAAAAACCATTATTTTATTATCTAAATAAATGATTATATATACTAAAAAATTTCAAATTTATAATATGGCTATAAATTATTTAGTTTTATTATATAATAAGTAAAAAACCTTTACATCTTCCCTTTTGAAGTTAAACGGAAATGGTTTGATATTTTAATATTTTTATTTTGTTAGAGTTTACGTTTAAAATAATTACTTTTCCAATTAAGAGGTGAAGTAGGGGAAAACATAACTATTTTAAAAAAATATACAGTTTAACTTTCATTAGATGATAACATTTCTGTTCACAAATGAAAAATTGTCATATGCAGAACATTTAAATATTTTTAAATAAGTTTTTACAGGGAGAGACCAACTATAATAGGAAAGTATAAATTGGTAGTTTGACATCAAGGGAAATTCATACCCTGGGCTGGGCTTAAATATATTTTTTTTAAATAAATACAAGGTCTGAGGTTTGAAAATAAAAAGGTAGATCTCGCGCGGCCTTTAATTTAAACATTGATATTTGAGTTCTTAATAATATCCAATGGACTTTGCCTCTATATCTCTCATTGATAACCCGCACTTGACTAATAATAGCTGCTGTTTGGAACTATATAGCGGGTTTTTTTTGCTCTTACACTAAATTCAGATTATTCTTCTAACTGACCAGAATTAAATAAAATTTTGATAGCTAAATAATTCAATATCGCTTATAATTGGGTTTAGGTAAGGTCAACCTTAACTTAGCTCCTCCCACACAATTATTGTTCAATCAAACCTTCGAAACCAAATATTTAATTTCAATCTACAATTTTTTAATAGTATTTTACAAGGATGTGAACCAAAATTAGGGTTTTAAAATTTAGATTTGTCAGGAGACTTTGAAGTCACAGACCAAACAAAAACCGATTTAAGGACAACCCATCTAACTCGGGGTAATATGGAATGACCAGGGGAATGTTCAGATCCATTTAGGAAAATCGGTTTCGATTATCTTCTTGTTAATAAAATTTCCAGCAAAAATTCGTGAACTAATTGGGTTCAAATCTCTGGTATTTTTCCTTTCGTCGAGGATTCTTATCATTACCATAAGATTCTAAATTGAAGTCTGCCATGAGCGTGGTTTAGCCAGTCAACGCCCGCACTTGCATGAGCGGGTGGATTTAATAAATCTAAATATTGAGTGGACGGGTAATTTTAATTTTCGGGCTAAATGAACAGATACAGCTATATTATTTTATAATAATGTATATATTATAAGTTTTTATAATATTGTATATATTATAAGTTTTTATAATATTGTATATATTATAAGTTTCAGCACAAAGTGGGTTGGATGGGATAATTTTTTTAAAAATCCATGCGCGGGCGAGTTATAATTTTTTTTAAAACATTGAACGGGCGGGTTCGGGTTAAAACCAGTCAATTAAAACAAAGCATGTGATCTTAAACGTAAGTGAAATAGGGTACGTTGGGGGCAGAGACACGTTAACTCCATTCCTAAATGACATTTATAAAAAGGGCATGCTGATGTTTAATCCGAGAAACGTTAGTCCTATAAAGTATAATAATATTTATATTTTATTTAGGTTAAACAAATGCAAATAAATATTTATCAATGTTAAATATAGAGTTTTATTTTTATATAATTAAATAATTTTTTGTTTAATTTTTTTTTAGAAAAGTCCCTAAAAATTTCTTTATATTCAATTTTATTTACTTAAGTTATTTTTATTTATGTTGGCGGCAATGTGTTTTTTCCGGCAATGTGTTATTTTTTAATACAAATCATTTTTTGAGTGGGTTTTTTTAAATTTTAAAATCCGATTTTACCAGGAATGTAAGCATGTTTAAAATCTTCAAGGGGCCTCACTAGCTTTTACAATCTCAGGTAGCTTAAAAAAATAAATAATTTTCAAAGTGGCACTTTTTAGCTAA